GGAATTGATATTGATGCTCTGAAGACGCTTGTTGAGTCTAACCCAAGGCAACACACTCTTGAAATGGCCCTGAAATTGCATGTCTCTTATGAAACAATACGTAAATATGTAAGGAATATGTGAAAACTCCTTAAAGAAAGTGTTTGGGTGCCTCATGAACTCTCCAATGATCATTGTTTCCACATGTGAATGTTGCTTCATCTTTTCTGGCATGTAATGTGTATGAACCATTTTTGGATAGAATTGTCACCAGTGGTGAAAAATAGATTCTTTATGCAAATATTAAATGCCAAAAACAATGGACTCCATCTACAGAAAGTGATGCTTTGCATTTGGTGGAACATCAAAGGAGTAATTCATTTCGAACTCTTCAATCCACAGCGAACTATCAATGCAGAGATCTATAGTCAGCAACTGGAATGTTTAAATCAAGCCTTTCATCAGAAACACCCTTCACTCATCAATCGGAAAGGTGTTCTTCTTCTCCATGACAATGCATGTCCACATGTGGCACGTTTGATGCAACACAAGATTATGGAGTTGGGTTGGGAAGTTCTCTCCCATCCACCATATTCTCCAGAAACGACACCATCAGATAACCATCTTTTTCATTCGTGTCAACACCATCTTAATGGGAAAACGTATACAAATGTGGAAGGTGTTAAAGAGGACATCGGCATGTTGCTTTGCTTCAAAGCCGCCAAGTGATTTCTTTAATCAGGGCATTAACAACCAGATAGTAAGATGGAAAATCATCATCAATAAGAATGGAGATTATTTCATTTAATAAATGTTTTGTTTTGACATACAAGTTGTTTGGGTTTTTTCACATAAAAAAAGGGACATTAATTTCTTGAGGACCTAATACGTTACAAGCATAGACCAAATGATCATAGAATAACATATTTTTTATAGAGAAAGTTTTAGGAAGAGTCTGGGAATTTCATTCTTCCCAAGTTATGGGAACTGTAATTTTATCTTTTGAATGATACTACACAAATTTGACTGATACGCTGTTTCGTGCTCTGAAACTTGGAGGTAGAATTATGCTATGTTTGTAGATAGTTAAATAGAAAATTGCCAAGTTAGTTTCTATGGCTTTGAATTAAATATAAAAATTAAAAGATGATAATTTCCCAGTGGGATCATAATATGTTGATTCACATATTACAGGCTGTGGAAAAAAATTACTCTCTTGCACATAACTTGTTTCATGGTGTATACAAAGTTGTGGATGCTTATCACATGTCAGTAGCTAAGGAGGATATTGACAAGTAAGTTCAGAAAACAGTCATCATTTTTTTTATCTTGGGTTATCGGTGCACATTTATAGCAGTTGTTACCTATATAAAAGTTGTGTTAAGCTTCTTATTACAAGTTAGTAGTGTATGAATACATGGTTTTGTTTATTTGACATAATCATTTAATGTATAAAGTTTGGTAGGTTTCAGATTAACCTCTTGCTTTATTTTAAGTTGTCATAACAGAAACTGAAGTTGCTAGTTTTTTCATGTATTAAAACATTTCACAACCTTCAACTTCAGGTAAAACAAACTAAGTCCTAGTGCCAAGTTTCTTCACCTTTGTGTATAAACATTTTTTTTTAAGAAATAGAAAACATATTACAATATAAGATTGAGTTCAAATTCACAATTACACAAACATGCTTTTATGAAACACAAGTCTGAAGACAGTATATCTAGATATATTTAATAATAATTCTTCACATATATTTTTAACAATGAATTTTTATTTTTGGTAACTAGCACCACCATCAAATATATTTTTACACATGTGTAATGACTCATCTACAACTAATACACAACTTTCATGTAAATTTGTATATGCATTATATGTGTTTTTCTTTGTAATTTTTATGATCACATAGCATATTCTGGGAAGTGTCTTTTGTTGTCCAGTGTTTATTAATGCTGTATCAAATCAAGTGTCATAAGCTTTAATACTAACTGTTTTACATTGGCACTTTAAAGTTCTAAAAGCTCTGTTTAGAATGTGTTATTACTGTTAACGTTGAAACTTGTAGTGTTAGGCTCCAACAGCTTTTATGTATTTTTACAGTCAGTTAATGTTGCCTCTTGCAGTGTTAGGCTCCAACAGTTTGTATGTATTGTTTCAGTCAGTTAATATTGACTCTTGTAGTGTTAGGCTCCAACAGTTCATATGTATTATTACAGTCAGTTAATATTGACTTTTGTAATGTTAAGCTCCAACAGTTTGTATGTATTATTACAGTCAGCTAATATTGACTTTTGTAATGTTAAGCTCCAACAGTTTGTATGTATTATTACAGTCAGCTGATATTGACTCTTGTAGTGTTAGGTTCCAACAGTTTGTACTTGAATGTTTATACCTTGTAATTTAAGGCTCCATCAGTTTATGTTAATACTTTTAATCTAAGGTTCCACCAGTTTGTATTTGATATTTAGTGATTAATAGTGACATTATTATATAACGAAAGCATAGAATTAACTGTTGGATTTTGATTTATTAGCCTAATAAAAGCATCTATATGTAAACTTGTATTTTCAGGTCAATGAATTATTGTCGTATGTTTACTGAGCTAGCTGAGTCTCTTCTGGATGTAATTATTTTATCACCAGGACAAGTAAGTTATTTGCTTCTCTTCTGTATTGTAATTAAATATCATCAGGTCAAACTGGTTATTTTTTATTAATATTATGGAAACATAAGTTTGTTACATCTTTTGCTTTTAGATGTAATTATTGTGTCATTAGAACAAATAAATTATACTTTTCTCTTTAAACAGAATTTTTATTTCACCAAGTCCAGTAAATTGTATTCTTCTATTCTGAATGTAATTATTGTATCATCAGGCCAGTGGGTCGTATTTTTCTATAATGGTTTGAATTACTGTATTATCAGGTCCAGAAAGTTATATCCTTCTCTTCTGGATGTAACTTTTATTATCGTAAAGCTCAGTGAGTTATATTCTTCTATTCTTGGTGTAATCATTATATTACCAGGACTAATTATGTTATATCCAGCTCTTCATTTACTGTATATCATCAAGATATTTAACATTTACTCTTTTATTGTAAATGTAAGTATCACCTTACTAGGTTTTATCATCGGAATAAGATTTATGATCAAAATATCTAGGTTGCCAAATGGAAACAATTTGAATTATGAATGAAAACAAATCTGACTTATATCAAAAATATGTCTATTGCTCGGTCAGTGGTATGTTCACAGACTTTCATTGCTAAAATCCTGAGTTTAATTCTCAATGGTGGACAGAGCACAAATACTTCATTTTATAGCTTTGGAATAAAAAATACAAACAGATAAAAATTATATTGATATTAGGCTTTCTTCCATGTGTTAATATTAGCTTCAATTATTATCTCAAACAATTTGAGCAGTACTTTTTCTACAGCTAAAAAATCTGGTAAGTTTTCAGACAATGGAGTGGAATATCTACATGTTCAACTATGATTATTCAAACAAGGTCTTCAGATCACTGTAAAAGTGTCCTCAAAATATGAATAAGTGCTCATAACCGATATAGCAATAGCATGCCCATAAAGTACAACAGTCAACAATACTCTTGTTAATGTACTGTGCTAAGTTATATAACACACATAAATAATGTTTACAAACGTATCAATATAGTTGTACTGGAGAAATTCTAAACTTCAATTTAGTAGTAAATCAGCTTAAACACTAATTAAAGATTAATGCTATCATGTTCATTGGAAGAGGATAAAACATTTTTAATTCACTGATGCCCTTAAAACCAAACATTGGATACTATTCACTTTTTTGTGTTTATGTGATGGACTTTTTAAACTGACGAACTGGTTGTTTTCTGTCCTGATAATCTGGATGTTGTTCTACTGAATGTTTCTTAACATGTTAGCAAAAGTGGTCAACAACAGCGTATTATTATCTTTAAGTTATAGATGTTTTGAATTTTATACCATACCTGCATAAAATACCCATGTTCTGCTGCAGAATTCAAAGGCTCTCTCACGATTCACAGAGGGTCCTAGTGTACTGATCAAGTTCCTCCATTATCCCCAATTACTTTTCTAGCTACCATTAGAAGGATCCATACCTGGAAGAAAACCTGTTATGAAACCTGCCTGTGGTACTTGAGCAAGTGTGTCAAATTTAGTCATGCTAGCTTGTGAGTGGGAGGTATGAACACAGTTTCAAACATAACCCCCCCAACATACAAAAGGGGCCATGAACATGAAATACAATGCCAGATTCTGGTTCAGCAACCCTGAAAATGTAATTTTAGACCACATCATATTTGAGTGATCTTTCAGCCATGTTTTAGTTCTCTTTTGTACTCACTTGCTAGGGGAGCTGCACCATGTATAAAAGGGGCATCACCTGGGCCATAAAACAAGTTTTGTCCTGCTAGCTCAAAAACTATGGGAGGGATGAGCTGGACAGAAATACAATACATACATAGCAAATATGGTACCCCAGGGATTTACAGGAACACAAAATCCAATGCCACAGAGCTTAAAGTGCTCCAAGTTGTTTATGAACCATGGCTAGGTCTTAAAAATGGATTTGAATGTTTCACTCGTGTGGACAACCATTGGATGAATGGATGTCAGACAATTACAGCAGGCTACTACAAATTGGCTTCAATTAACAGAAATGTGGAAGTATGCAGTTGCTGAGGTACCTAGATAATACAGGCTGTTATCTACAACAAGCAAATAAGTGTTACTTGTTATTTCTGTCTCACTGTAATCTTACATTACATGTTCCAGGACTGAATCAGATGCCTGTAGTTTTTGGTAGTGTGCAGACAAATAGAAACAAACTTCATGAATCTAATCTCTATGCTAAATGCTCAGTGAGATGCATTCTGATCACAGCAAGAAGGTGGTACCAAGGATACATGTATTGAACCAACTACATGTGGAGCAATATTTTTCTTTCAGATAAATTGTACTTTAGTTTTTAGCAAGATAATTGGCATTTTAATCTGGGGAGAATCTGGAAACAGATCCAACCCTTTTTCATACAGGAATGTGGAGAAGAAAATAATGACAGAGTAGAGTTGCCTGAATTTCAGTTCCATAAAGCATGAATAGGATGCTCTGGAAATAACTATTTTAGAGAAATGATTAGGTCATAGTATTGTAAACATACAGACTTTGAACAACCTATTGGTACCAGGCTGCCTTTGTTGTTCTTGGTGACCTTGTTCCTCATTGAAGCAAAATGTCATAAAATGTAAAGATATAAAAACCACTGTTACTAAATGTTCATTAACGATCTTAAACTAATTGACCAATTATTTGCATTTTAAATGACAGACATCATATGCCTGATAAGTATAAAAATAAAAGTATATGAAATGAGGAGGTGACTGATGCTATTTTTCAACAGTGGTTTTCGCTTTATCATAGTTAGAATATCAGTTCCACTTAATCTTTAATTACATTTTGAAGTGTAATTTAATTCATAAGGAGATAAAAATGTAGTAACTTGACTTTTTTTTTTTTAAAGAGGTTATTTATTTCAGCAATAATATTAAGTAATAATATTTTTTTTTTGAAATTAAGAAAATGTAGGACCTTCTTTTTAACCCTTTGAGTCACTGGTAGAGACATTAGTTTTTGGAAATATTTCCGCAAATATTGCTAGTGATAAATAATGTCTGTTTTAGATATCTATTTAGTACTGGTAACCTCTTTATTGAGGAACTCTGCTTTACATAAAGTTACAAGACATAGACTTAATTATAATAGTATGGTTTGATTTAAGTTTTTTTTCTATTGTACATCTTTGTTTTTTATTGTTTTTGATTGCACTTTTTAGTATTTCTGAACAATTGTAACAGAAATATAAAGTTTATATGACAAACAGTCCCTATATACAAGTCACTTAAAATTGCTACTCTGTCTTTCTCTAGTGTCACTCCGAGTTGCTGTCTTCATTGACTTCATCCCAACTTGGTTCTTCATCCTCGCTAATTTCTTCTTGATTTTTGCTGGCTCCAGTCCTGCCATTGCTTGCAGTTGCCAGATTTCACTTCATTCTCAGTCTAAGCTGTTGCTTTTTTTTCTCTGTTGTTACTTATTCAATTCCTCATCTTGGAGGGTGGAGATTATAATGCATAGTATCAATACTAGCTGTTTGTCCTGCTATTAGGCAGTATTGTTTTTATGTAACTGAATATCTTTGAATTAAATATACAAACAACTGCAGTAGATGGAAAGTGTAACTCTCAAACAGAAACTTTAGCTTGGTACCAGTCCTAGGAGCTTTCTATCTTGCTAAGATGCAGTAATCATACTGACTTTGATAGGACTTCCTTGCTTCATAATTTGTGTCCTGCTCTGTATTCAGCCAAATCAATGGAACAATGTTGATGATATGCTAAGCTTCTTTCATGATTATGCTCTTGTGAAACAACTACTGAATTCATGTTGGGGATATGCTGAACTATCTTCATGATTATGCTCATATGATACAACCACTGGGTCCATGTTGGGGATATGCTGTACTATCTTCACATTTATGCTCATTTGATACAACCACTGGATCCATGTTGGGGATATGCCGTACTATCTTCATGATTATGCTCATTTGATACAACCACTGAGTCCATGTTGGGGATATGCTGTACTATCTTCACATTCATGCTCATTTGATACTACCACTGGATCCATGTTGGGGATATGCTGTATTATCTTCATGATTATGCTCATTTGATACAACCGGTGGATCCATGTTGGGGATATGCTGTACTATCTTCATGATTATGCTCATATGATACAACCGGTGGATCCAAGTTGGGGATATGCTGAACTACCTTCATGACTATGCTCATATGAAACAACCAGTGGAAAGCAGAAACCTTAGAGACTGGAAATTATTGTCTTTATGTACTGTTCTTCGTCTGTTAACAGGGATGATTGTTGCAAAGTTTCTTGATAATTGTCTTTTTCTTTTTGACAATAGAGATAAACAGTATTGATTTGTCAACTCAAGTTTTGTGGCAGCATGCAAGTTTGGTTGCATTAGATCTAGAACTTCAATCATTTACACCTTGTCTGGGTGACTTAATGCATTGAAAATCCATGTAGGTCTAATGTTTTTGTTGTAGGCATTTCTAAAATTTCATGAAATATTTCCTCATTACAGTAACACTGTTGACAGAATTTTGGTTACAAAATGTGCACTGATCAGTTATTTGTAAATTGACTTGCTTCATCTTGAAACAGTGTCACCATTTTATGGTTTGTACATTATTGCAGTTTTAAGTAAAACAAAATATATTAGTTGAGGATGCTAAAAGAAATGAAAAAAATTAATTTTGGACAAGTAAATAATTAATAAATAAATTTGCAGACCAAGTATAAGTTTCTTTGTTGAAAGATCACCTATGTTGTAGACTTATTCTAAACAATCTGTGTAACCACTTATAATTCACAGTTAGATTCTTCCCTTTCCTGTGTCTGAATAATCACAATATTTGAGAAACTTAAAAAATGATTTAGAAAAATTAATTCAAAAATATAGTAACAGTAACTTTTACAGTAGGCAAGTTCTGATATTAATGATTACAACGTTTCTGCCCATAAAGTACCTGGTGATGACCCAATACTATGGGTCGAAACATTGTAATGATTAAAATCAAAACTTGCCTTTTGTTAAAGCTGCTGTCATTGTGTTTTGAATTAATTATTCAGTTCAATAGGTTCATCACTAAACGATGAGTTAGAAAGTTGTGGAATACAAAATGGCTAGAAATTTCCAATAACTTTGTAGTAATTTCAGCTACTCACACTAGGCTTATGTGCTAAGCTAGTAGTAAATTGTAGAAACTCCTAATCTCAGAAGAAAGGGTTAGGCCTAAGTTAACACAGAAAGTAAACTATATTAGACACACTTAGATTAAAATATCTATTAAAAATAACTGGCAAGTAACCAATAAGGCAGTCAAAAGCATTTCAAACCTCTAACTCTGACTAAAAATGGAGAAACAAAAAAAAATTATGTGAAACAATGAAAAATATACTTAGAATAACTTACTCCTCACAATAAATAATTTTAAGTAGAGTCTTAAGGAGTTTGTGTCTTATAGCATGTAGCTTACCAACTTAATCTATTTCAATCACAATAATTAGAAATTAAGTTGCTGCATAAAATGCTAAAAGTCATTGAAAAATACCTTGTGTTAATATTTCTGACTCACTTTTCTCTTGACTGATCTTTCTCATTGTATTTATAATTTTCTTGTGTTTGTATTAATAAGTTAATAGCTTGACACTCTTGTATTAGTTAATAGTTTTTAATGTGTTTTCAGAAGATATTTACCTATCTGTAAAGATACAAGTCAAACTCAGTTTACAGATTAAATTGCCTCATTCTCCTTTTATCTTGCTTTGAATAGTTTATAAAGTAGAAATGTCCTATTGAAATTGAGTGAAATACCAGATGTTATTTATAGTCCCATTTGTTTCCTTTTACCAGAACTTAGGAGATCTGAGGACATTAGATCTTCTTCTCATTTGTGTAGGTCACCATGACTATGAGGTGAGTTATGTGTTAAGGAGTTTTAATTAGCTTTACTCTAAAAATATGGATATCTGATGTTGAAGGGAATAATTATAAAAATCAGATTGAAGATGAAAAGGATTGAGAGCATTTCTTTGTTTAGCTACTAAAAACATCATTTGTTAACTTTATTAACAGGATTTCAGTTCATATTTTTGGTAATTTTGATCAGTTATTAACTAAGTATAGTAGAAATACATAAATTATATTCATGTCACTTGGTGTATTTAAAAAATGAGAATTAATGTATTATGTTTTATAGGTAGCTGAGATAACATTCAACTTTTGGTATAGACTGTCAGAAATTCTGTTTAAGAAAAACAATGACCATTTGAACAGACTGTTTCACCCCTATATTCGAAGGCTAATTATTTCATTGGCCCAGCACAGTCAGATGGAACCTGACCATGTTAGTTTTCTTTTTTGTATGTTATTCTCTTTCACATTGATGTTATGTTTTTACAAGATGTATTCAAGCTTAAAGGTTAGAAAGTAATATGATTTTGGAGTAAACCTTTTTGGTAGAAGTATACAGCATCTCTCAGTTGTGCATACCTATGTTCCTTTGTTTAAATGACTTTTAAATTCCTCTCACAACTTTTAATGAAACAACTTGATATTTGCTCTTGGCTCCCACAGAATAAAAACTAAAAACAAAAGTGCAAAAATATTTTATCATCATGGATAAAGACGATTATTGAGAAATAATAACAACCCACAGTAGTTTAAATGAGTTGATTTTATTACTTTGAAATTAGCATATAAACCTTTTTTCTATATAAGGAGAGCTAAATAGAGATTTTGTTACAAAATTAATTTAAGTTTCAGAAAACAAGACTAATAATTTTTTATACATTTTTGGATTACTACCAGTTTGGTGGTAATAAAAGGGCATAGTATTATGATGTGTGGCAAGAGTTATTATGAACCTTGAACTGTTTTTATGTACTATTCAGGAGGGGATTTTAGAAGAGCATGATGATTTTGGAGAGTTTCGTTCTCGAGTGTCTGACCTGATAAAAGATATTGTGTTTATTGTGGGATCATCAAGTTGCTTTAAAGAGGTAATACAACTTGTTTAATTATAAGTAATAAGAATTTTTTGGATAATAAACAGGAAGTAATGTGTGGTATGGGAGCATGAAAATTCATAATATTTAAAGTTATCATTATATTTTTGACTTTTTAATACTGATTTAATAGTTTATATTACTTTGTATACAAAATAGCTTCTGCAGTGTTGAATAAAAGTATATGTTATCATTCATAATATACTTAAAGAGGAAAAACTTTGCTATCATATTAAAAAATTGGTTTCAATGCCATTGTATAAAACATGCAAAACTTGGACCTTTCCTATGCCAAATGAAGTCAGTATGACTGAACAAATCATCAACCGTGTGTGATTAGTTTTGTTTCAAGCCTCTAAGGGTAACCTAATTTTTAGTCCACCTTATATTCAATGGTTGAAGTTCACATTCTGTTCTTTTGTTACATTTTCATAATTGAAGATGTAGTGGCAGTTCATTTTTTTCTGGTTAAGATATTTTAGCATTATTAGTTTGAATTCTAACTGGAAATGGAGGATGATAGGGAAGAAACTACAGGTAAGCACCCTTTTAAACAGCGGTTGATAATACTTCTGATGTTGTAGGTTTTAGTGTTGAAGCATTATAATATTCTTCACTGGAGAGTCTACTAGTGATTGGTCCAGTATATCCCTGGTTTCACCTTGGATAAGTGAACTCGTATATTACAGTGTTTTTAAAATATTGGAAACCTTTTTGAAGTAGAAGTTGAGAATATTAAAGTAATACTTAGAAGAAATTGTTTTCTGAGATGATAACTCATCTTTTCACACAGAAGCTCTATCTTCCTCATGTGTCTACCTATGAGATTTGCATGCCACTAGCCTTGGGGTTACTTCCACATAAATTCACGTGTCCTGTGCAAGTGATGATATTACTCACACAGGCTCTATCTCTAGTAAAGCATTGGGGGATCGTTGACTGAGGACGATGTCACATCCATTGTGTAGCATGTTAAGGGGTCCATTGTACATGCTAAACCTCCTGTTACTGTCCATTCTTCTGATGTTCCTTCTCCTCATTTTGAGTTTGAACAAGAGCAAGACAAATTTGATCGATTGTTCTCTCTTCCTGAATGTCTATTGGGTACCTCCCTATTGGTGGAAGAGAGTCCACACTATTTCAGGACTTGATTTCTTAGATGTGCTCCTTTTGTTCTCTTTCACCCACATCTTATGATTCTTCATGTTCTTTTTAACATGACTATAATCTCGAGATTATTTAGTTCTTCCTCCCGCATCTGACATTTGGATTCGTGCTGACTCCTTTCTTGAACAATGTTGTAACCATCACCATATGCCTCATCCTCTTCACCTTATTTGATTATCATGTCCTTTCTCTTTCATGATTCACAATCTTTGGAATCTCTGTTGCTTGCTTGGGGAGCAGTCCCCTTTTCTTCTGTTTTGTTCTCCAGTGCTCACTTTTCATGTCTTCATCTTTTTCTCACCACCCTTCTTCATTACCTCTCCTCCCTGCATCTTATGTCTGAGGTGCTTCATTGTGCTCCAGGGGAAGTTTATTCTTTTTATTGCTGTGGCCCCTATCACTACTTCTGCCTTATCCCTATGTACCTGGTCCCACTGCTGTTGGAATGTGTTAGGTAGGGACACACTCCTTACTAATGTATGCCTACCTGTTTCCTATCTGTATGATCTTCGTCAGGCTCCTTTTCTTCATCCTGATGTCTTTGGTGATGTTCTTGACTCACTGGAGGCCAAGGCTAAGGTGGCCTGACACCAGTCCTTATTATCTTCTCTGGTTTCTCACATTTCACAGCCCTGCTTTTTCAACTTCTGTCCCTTGACAGGGATTCTATCCCCCCCCCCCCCCAAATGACTACTTTAAGTTCTTTCATACATCTTTTTGGTGCCTATCCTTTTGGCTAGGGAACTGTGGGTGCCTATCTGTCTTAGTTTGCCAACCTTTGGTCACAGTTTTATACTGACAGATGGGTTCTTCAAGTCATCACCCATGGTCTTGTTTCTTCACTTTTCTTCTCCAATCATCCTTCTATTCCCATTTCCTTTTCTCCTCCCTCCAATCCTGTCTATCTCTAGTGTCTCGAGGGGGGTTGTATCGAATTTTTCAGCCAACTACAACATCGAGACTGGAGACTGGAATCTTGCAATTAACCTCTCATCTCTAAGACACTTACTGATTGTTTCACATTTCCAGATGGAGAATTTCTTTTCTTTCTGGTAGCTCTTTTTTCCCCATACTGTGGAGGACCAAGGTTGATGTTTTGGATGCTTTCCTCCAAATCCTGATTGCCCCACTTTCTCCAGATGTTTTCCACAGTTTGTTGATTGGAATTTCATCTTCCAATTCTATGCTCTTCCCTTCACCATAGCATCAGCCTCTTATCCCTTTCGAGACAGGTTACAGGTGAAAGGCCATGTCATCTCGTTTGTTGACTCACATTAAAAAGTTTATTGAACTATTATTTCATGAATTTATGTCAATAACTTTGATATCAAACTGTAAATTATAATTCAAATTTTAGTACTATATATTACTCAATTTCTTATTTGAAAAGCAAATATTAAAAAAAAGAAGATAAACATTGATTTTTGTGTGCCACGTGGTATGTTGAAGGCAGCACTGGTTGAAATTAGATGTTTGTGAAGTCAAAATACTAAGTTTATAGTTTCGTACGAATTAAAAACCCAAATTATCAATATTGACAAGCTAGAATATAAAATAAGAGCCTCTT